TTATTTACAAAATCAATGATTAAAATAATTGTAGACTTTGTCACCCGCAAGGGTTAACATTTTTTGGCGAAGGTATGAGATCGTGGAACTCTTGTATAGGATTGTGAAGCTCTGTCAGTCTTTTGATGTCCATGTTCTGTGGGTGTTTCATTGTAACCATTTCTGAGACATGCTTATGGAGCTATGGAACAATAGACTAGCTTCATGCATATTCAACATGTAGAAAGACCGGTTTTTTCTCCAGTGAGATAGATTTTGACGACGTGGCAAAAAGACTATTGTAGTTGTTATTACCTTCGCCAAGAAGGTTATGTTTTCAGTAGCGTTTGTCTGTGGGTGTGTTTGTGTGTGTGTGGTTTAGCAAGATAACTCGAGAAGCAGTGGATGGATTGGAATGAAACTTGGTAGGTGGGTAGGACTTCATGAGACCTAGAAATGATTAGATTTTGGGCCCCCTGGCGGCTTTCCTAGGTACTGCAGCTGAACTTCCGGTTTTGATATCTCATGTTCTGGACATGCTAGGGTCACGAATTTTGGTTGGTAGATAGCTCTTGGGGTAGGGAAGAAGTGACATGAGTTTGGGTCCCCTAGCGCCTTGTTCTGGAACTGCAGGATCATTTGTTGAAAAAAAATTGAAGGACGATAACTCAAGAACCGGTTGACGTATTGTCGTGATTTTTGGTATATAGGTAGTTGAAGTGATGCTTGACATAATCAGATGGCAATTATGCAAATCAGGAGCTAATTTGCATAATTAATGAGGAAATTCTATAAATCTGATTTGTTCGATAATAGAACTATGAAACAGTTGTGACATCTACTTGAGAACGAGAAAACATCTGAGGATATAGATTATGTAAATGAGGACCTAATTTGCATAATTATTGGCAAATTCTTATAATTCCATAGTTGTAACTGCTGCACCCCGAATTTCATACTTGCCACATTTGGAAGTTAAGTGAAGGTGAACATTAATAAACATAATTTATTCAAATCATGGCCTCATTTGCATAATTTATGAGGAAGTGCTATAATAGCCTTTTTGTTATGATAAGGCTGTCGTTGGGTGGAGAATATGATCAACTGATATAATCCATGCAAATGAGGGTCTTATTTACAAAATCAAGGATTAAAATTGTAGAATTCGTCACCCGCAAGGGTTAACATCTTTTGGCGAAGGTATGAGATCGTGGAACTCTTGTTTGATTGATTTTTCTGTCTGACTGCGGGATAACTTTTTTGGGGAAAAATTTCTATTTCTCTCGAGAGAAGAAAATGCTGAAGCCCCAGTATTAAGGAAACTAAGATATGTGCTATATAATTACCTTCGCCAAGAAGGTTATGTTTTCAGTAGCGTTTGTGTGAGTGTGTGTGTGTGTTTGTGTGTTTGTGGTTTAGCAAGATAACTCGAGAAGCAGTGGATGGATTGGAATGAAACTTGGTAGGTAGGTAGGTCTTCATGAGACCTAGAAATAATTAGATTTTGGGCCCCCTGGCGGCTTTCCTAGGTACTGCAGCAGAACTTCCGGTGTTGATATCTCGTGATCTGGACATACTAGGGTCACGAATTTTGGTTGGTAGATAGCTCTTGGGGTGGGAAAGAAGTGACATGACTTTGGGTCCCCTGGCGGCTTGTTCTGGAACTGCAGGAGCATTTGTTGAAAAAATGTCAATACTTGGTCTTCCGAGTTTGTGGTCTCCTCAGTAGCCTCTACCTGTTGGGCTTTTTAGGGCTTCTGAATGTAAAGATTCTGATTATCATATCTCTGTAGCCTCTACCAGGCTTACCAGATGTTTGGCGGCTACAAGACAGTATAGGTAGCGTGGCATAGCGGTAGCGTGTTCGGCTCAGAGGTCCCGGGTTCGAATCCTACCCATGTCACCGATCTTGTGCCCTTAGCGGCTACAAGACAGTATGCGATTGGCAAGACAGTGTCCATTTGCCACCTGTTTTGGCTGGCGTAAAAAAAAAACATACCAATACAAGACAAAATCCCGATAAAAACACGTTAAACATAAGTTGAATAATATTGATTTAGATGCCCTTTCAGAAAGTGCCAGGCTCCATCTTGTACTCAGGGGATCGTTTGCGATACCTTCTGAGTACTATGAAAAAATTATGTTACTAGTACTTGCTCAAGCTTTTATAAGCGGCAATAACGTTTTTTTGTTACATAGTATACTCTGTTTTGTTTGTAATATATAAATCATATAACACTTCTCTTTAGATATATTACTGTATGTATGGGGTCTAGTTTCTCAGCGCACTACTTGTATGACCATTGTATTTATGTTAAATGTTAAGTGGGGCTGTAAAATAAGTTGTATAACTTGAGTTCAGCCCCACTTCGTCCTTGTCTTGCATTGCTTTATTCAATAATAATAAAAAAAACATAAGTTGAAGCCTAAACTTCTGTTTGGAGACTCAGTCGAACTATATACTTCTAACCTTTGTATCTTCACAAGTTAAAAACAACATATCTGCGGAGAAAGAAAAAAACACCCACTTGTCACGGAAAATCTCCTTAAGACAATATTCTCAAGGCCATTAATACTCAATATGGCCCAGTTTTAGACTTCCCTAACTTCCATATATGGTAATTTAAAGTCCCCGGATGTATTCACCTGACCAGGGACCAATCACTTCTAGTTCTGTTTTTACCTCATGCTGCTTGCATCATCAAATGTCTTCACTTGCTCAAGAAATATTCTTTGCTCCCTCCAGGCGACACATGCCCCAAATTCTACATGCACAGGTTGTTGTGATGCTTATAAACAATAGACTAGCTTCATGCATATTCAACATGTAGAGAGACCGGTTTATCCTCTTTTTTTTATTTCTTTCCGTAACAAAGTTTCCCCTCTATTTAAACACAAGGTACATGTATGTTTACATAAAGACTAACGTTCATTAACACCACAAGGTTAAGAAAAAAACAAGGTGCCCAAATTTTCCTAAGTTAAAAAGTATAGAATTAAAATCAAAAGAATTCTCTATGTAGGCAAGGTACAGTTTCAAAATATGTCATAAATCAACATATTGCTGAGGATATATTTGATTTTCCTTCCTTCTCTACTACTCTTCCATGTTAACAACTTAAAAATAGTATCATGGAATATGGTGTTAACAACAACAGGGTACATACGTACAATAGACTAAACTATATGAGTGGAATAAAGTACAAATGAAGACACTACTGATGACCGAATCTTTTCATGAGACTTTGGAAGTGTCAATTTTTATGTTCATGACAGTCTACTAGATCCATACATGTAGCAAAGAGTGACGTGGGGATTAAAATATATCACAGGGCAGAGATGGAAGTTTTTTCACATATGCTCCGAAGTCACTGCTTTGTCATACATAAAAATGGAAACACAGTGGTCATGACTACACCGAGGAATTACAAAATATTGACCACTGTTACAATGTGTATTTCTGTTGTATCCTTTCCGGTAGTCACTGTACATGTAGAACACCAACTAATCTGGGACTGTGGTCTGAAGTAAGGATTGATGGATGTGCCCCCCTCCCACTTGATCCACGAGTTACTGTATCTAGCTGTTCATCCCAGCATTGTATGCATCCTGTTCAGCGTCCAGCTGCTCTGCTGAGATGTTTTCTCTGATCTTGCCTCCACGGCCGCCCCTGCCGCGTCCCCTGCCCCTGCCCCCACGGCCCCTGCCCCCACGTCCTCTACCCCCGCCGTAGCTGCCGCCGCCCTGTCTAGCGCCACCTCCACTGCCGCCACCACCGGCTGCCGCCAGGTTTGAAGTCACCAACTCGATGTTCATTGACCGTCCATCCAGTGGTACACCGTTGTACGTCTTCATGGCTCTCATGGCGTCTGCTCTCTTCTCAAACACAACATCTGCAGTGCCGTGGCTGCGACCTGACCTGTCGTACTGCACAGCTGCCTTCTTCAGGTTCCCAAACTCTGCAAACAGCTCCTTGATATCTGCGTCAGAAACCCCGAAGTCCAGGTTAGATATGAGGAGTTTCCCCTCTGTGGAGATGCCACTGCCCGCCCCCCCTAGCTGCTGCCCCCTCCGTGCACCCCCCTCCAACACC